CTTCCTTTCTTCCTTCCTTTCTCTCTCTCCCTTCCTTTCTCTCTCTCTCTCTCTCTCTCCCTCTCTCTCTCTCTCTTTCATTCTTTCTGGCATTTTCTGGCCTGGTCCACTCTGGGGCATCTATGTCTCAGTTGCTTCCATCTACCAATTTGCTGTAGATGTGAGTGTATTTGTATATGATTGTGTGTATGTGTGTAAGTGGGTACAGGTGGAAGGGATGCAAATAAGTGGGCAACCTTCACTGTATGGCAAGCAGATAATTGAGCAGAAGGCATGACAGCATAATGGTCAAAGACATAGGCTTCAGAATCAGAATATTTGGGTTGGATGCTTTACCTCAGTAACTTGAATTATAAAACCTTAGTGGCTCAGTGTTCTTGTTCTGTAAAGAAGAGATAGCAATTCTCACCTTATTTGAGTGTTGTCAGGAGTTCAAAGTACTTAGAAAAGTGTCTGTTATTTAGAAAGAACTCTAAATCACTTCCTAAATGCCTCTTGGATTAATTCTTTTCTCTTCAACATCACTTCCTAGTTGAGATGGCCAACATCCATGACCTGGACAGCAGCTGCAGACACTTAATTAATCTTCACCAGCTGGTTGGTGACCTGGACAAGGCCCTGCCACACTCAGGACACCTGCCTCTTCACTCCACACAGGAAGATTGGCTCTCGTCAGCCGGCTGATGTTTTGGAAGCTGTGTGGTGAGTGCACTGCATGTCTTCTTCATGATGAGGGTGAAGGGAAGAGAGGATGGAGGTGGCCATGAACTGGTACTGTCAACGGACTGAGCCAAGTCTCCTGGGAGGGACCTGGTTCAAAATGCTGAGGGATGCCATGATTTAATAGCAATGAATGATGGCTGTTGTGCTGTTAATGAGGCATGAGATGAAGATAAAAGACTAATGACTATGTATTAATGACATGAACTAGCAGAAATGGCAATTGTGCTTACTCTTCAAAAGAAGTCGAAAACGTGTTTTCATGTTCAGAAATGGATGAGCAAAGAGATGGGAACAGATGAGTGAGATAGAATCCCAGCCAGTGTATGGAAAGGTGCCTGGGTGGAAAGTTGCTACTGGATTACAATAGAATTGCCTATGATTGTTCAAACCCTGGAACATCTCTGGCTCTAAATCTATCCTAGGAGGAAGTGAACTTTGAACTCTGCACCCTCCCTCCCCAAGGTTTCATCTCTTATGCCCACTTAAGATGTATTTTTGGAGAGGGGTGGACAAGGAAGACCCTCCAGAAGCAAAGCCAGAAGTCATGGAGGATCGTGGTCAAGGACATTCCTCTAAAAGAGAAGAAATGAAGTAGAAAAGTAAAACTTTAAATCCACCCTTAGCTTATCCAAATTCTCATCATGCCTAAACATGCATGTCACACATGGCACTTAGAAAACCTCTTGCATCCTGAGAAAACTACACAAAAAAAGTGTATCTGGTCTTTTCTTAAACTGCTCAATAGTTTTGCTTAACACTAAACTCTAAATAGATTAAATATTGGGCCCTGTGATAGGCAGCTTCTAACATTGCTCTCTATGGTCCCATCTCCTGGTTTTCTCACTCCCTTTGTGTGACCTGCTCACCTTGAATGTGGACTGGACCTAGTGATATACTTCTTCTTTTTTTGTTTGATAAATATATTTACTAGATTTTATTTTTAACTTTATTTTTGTTGTTGATGTTTATAGATGTCCCCATTTCTCTCCCTCCCCACCCTTTGCCCACCTCCACCTAGCCCTCACCCCCTTCCCTCTGGTCATCACCACACTGTTGTCTGTGTCTATGAGTTATGAATATATGTTCTTTGGCTGATCCCTTCACCTTCTTTCATCCACTTACTAGATTTTAAATGGTGAGATTAAATCATGGGATTATCCTCTGTTTCTGAAAATAGAACTGCTAACTGAGTAAGTCCCCGGAGGCTGAAAGGCCGATACCTTGACAGGAATTAATTATTCTTTCATTCTTTATTTTTTCGTTTTGCTAATCCTCACCAGAGGATAATTAAAAAAAAAATTTTTTATTGATTTTTTACAGAGAGGAAGGGAGAGGGATAGAAAGTTAGAAACATCGATGAGAGAGAAACATCAATCAGCTGCCTCCTGCACACCCCCTGCTGGGGATGTGCCCACAACCAAGGTACATGCCCTTGACCGGAATCGAACCTGGGACTTTTCAGTCCACAGGCCGACACTCTATCCACTGAGCCAAACCGGTTAGGGCCAGAGGATAATTTTTACTGTTGATTTTTTTTAGAGAAAATGGAAGGGAGGGGGAGAGACAGAGAGAAAGAGAAACATTGATGCGAGAGGGACACACTGACTGGTTGCCTCCCACATGCACCCTGATCGGGGTGGGGGATCGAGCCTGCAACCAAGGTATGTGCCCTTGACTGAAATCGAACCCATGACCTTTCAGTCCACAGGCTCAAGCTCTAACCATTGAATAAAACTGGCTAGGGCTCATTACTCTTTCCTTCTGAGAGCAGCTGCTCCATACAGAATCTGGCTTTCACCACATAAGGACCACTCTTTCAATTAATGTGACCGCTTTGTTCAAGCTGAGCCTCTCCATCTTGTATTTATCCTCAGCCTTCTGTTACTTGTTGTTTTTCTCACTCCACTGATGTATTGATGTCTGTTTCATGTTATATTTCACTGAGTCTTTCATTAGAAGTGTCCCTTCTATTTATCTGGTGAATGAAGTGACTCACCTCTAATGAATAGAATATGACAACAGTGACAGGAGGTCTCTTCTGAGATTAGATTACAAAAAGCCTATGACTTCTGCTGTGTTCTCTTCCTGGTTTGTCTCACTTGCTTTTTTTTTTTTTCTGGTGCAAAAGGAAAGAGGTTTATTCAGGTGACAACCTGGGAGAATAGTGGACTCTCGTCTCAAAGATCATCTCCTAACTTGCCTTGGTTTTCACATGTTGAGGACATGAGCTGCATGTTGGGGAGGCCCATGTGAAAGGAATGGAGGGCAGTCTCTGGCCAATAGCCTGTGAGGAGCTGAATCCTGCCACAAACTTGTGAGAGAGGCTGGAAGAGCAGCCTCCCCCAGTCAAGCTTTCCAATGAGACCACAGCCCCACCTGCTATCTTGACTTCAGCTTTGTAAGAGGACTGAGAGATAATAAATGTTGTTTCAAGCCACTGAGTTTTTGGATAATTTTTTCATAGCAATAGATAATGAATACAGGCCCATATGTTGCTGACTTCTTAAAAGAAAACAATGTACTTGTTTTGCTGATATTTTGCAGTACTGGCACCTACACAGGACCACAGTGAGGAACTACTATTTTTCCTCCACCAATTAGAATGTTGAACATAATAACCAAACTTTTGTGGGTTTAGCTTTTAAATACATGTCAAATATTAATATTATTATTGTTATTATTATTATTATTTTTAAATTCTTTATTGTGGAAAGTATTATATATGCATCCTTTTTCTCCCATTGACCCCCATTGACCTCTCCCTGCCCGCTCCTGCCCCCCAGCACGTGTCCCCACCCCGCTATTGTCTGTGTCCATTGGTCATGCTCATATGCATCAAATCTTATTTTTGAGAGCAAGTTCTCTGAAGGTGAGACTCTTGCAAGTTAACAAAACAAAATACGTTTTAAGCTTTTAAATTTATTCCTGTTTTTTTTTTAAACCATTACAAGAACTGAGCTACAATTGACATATAACATTGTGTCAGTTTCAGGGATACAGGAATACCTCATCTTATTTACTTATTTATTTAAATTTTTACTGAATTTACTGGGGCGACATTGGTTAATAAAATTATATAGTTTTGAATATAAAAATGACTAGAAGGAACCAAGAAGGCAGGGTAAGTAAACACCGGTACTCGCTGCCTCTCACAATCACATCAAAATTACAAGTAAAATACAGAACAACCATCATTCAGAACCACCTGAAATCTAGCAGAATAGAAGTTCTACAACTAGAAACGTAAAGAAGAAAGCACAGAGAGACTGGTAGGAGGGGCAGAGGTGAAGAATGGCTAGCCTGACATCGCGTTGGTGTTTTTTTTAAAACCGGGAGAGATATTGTGACTGCAGACGCCTTTGTGAGGAGCAAGGAGTCCCAGACCCACACCAGATCCCATAACACAGGGTTTCAGTGCTGGGAAGAGAAGTCCCGGTAACTTCGGGCTGTAAAAACCAGCAGGGATTGTGGCTGAGTGACACGGAGGATACTGGAGACCCAGGGAGTTCCTCTTAAAGGGCTGGCAAATGAATTACTTGGACTCGATACTTCTGGGCTCCAATGCTGGGGCAGAGGCTTGAAAGGAACTTAGGACATTCAGAGAGGAACTGGATTGTCTGGCATGGGGGCAGAAACTCAGGGGCAGCTTTCTCCTAGGTGAGGGTGCTTGCAGGGGTCATTGTTCCTGTGCTGAGACCTCCTCTGCCACAGAGTTGACTGGCAGCCATATCTGAGTTTCTATCGGCCTGGCTTACACTGTTTGCCTGGTGATTCCCTGAGACCTCACCCCATCCAATTTGCAGCTGCATCAAAGCTGTTTGCAGTGGCTTTTCCATATGAATGGCTTGTCCTGGTTCAGGCTTCAGATTTCCTAAAATCCCTTAAACAAGCAGCAGCTGACATCAGCATGCCCCATACGTATCAATAAGAGGCCCAAGACCCGGCACTAGCACCAGTCTACCTTACTTCACAGCTGGGCCTCGTCTGAGGGCTTCCAAGCCCAATACAAGTAGCAGGCATCTGAAGATCATTCTGTAGCTTCTGCTGGGTAGCCCCAGACAGTGGCTGACTTTTCACATCCTCGGAGGCCCCAGAGCCAGTGCTCCCAGTGGATAGCTTCAGACCACAGCAGATTACAACTCTACACATCCACAAGCAACACACTCAAGGGGCAGACTCAGTGAGCACCAAAGCCCCACTGAAGCAAGTCCTGATCTATAGGGTCCTCACAGCCAATTGGCCTGGAGGCCAATTCCTCCCAGTGACTCCAATAGTAATCAAGGCTCACCTACAACAAGACTGTTGTGCACACAGGCCACACAGGGGTGCACCTAGAGTGCCCAGCTCAGGTGACTGGGGTGTCTGAGCCACTGGCCCCTACAAGACACCTACCACAGAAGGCCAATTCCAGGAGACATAGCAGCTCTACCTAATGTGTAGAAACAAACATAGGGAAGCAGCCAAAATGCAGAGACAAAGAAACATGTCTCAAACGAAAGAAATAGAAGCAGGCAAATTACTGGATACAGGGTTCAAAACAATGGTTATAATGTTGCTCAAGGATCTTAATGAGAGCTTCAGGGAATTAATGAGAGCTTCAAGAGACTAGTAAGACTTTCAAGGATCCTAGTGAGAATTTCAAAGACATGAAAAAGGGCCAACCAGAAATTAAGCATACGCTAACTGAAATAAAGAAGAATTTAAAGGGATTCCATAGTAGATTAGAAGATTCTGAGAATCAAATCAATGATTTCAAATATGAGGAAGAAAAAACCACCCAATGAGAAGAGCAAAAAGAAAAAAGAATCCTCAAATATGAAGATAGTGTAAGGAGCCTCTGGGACAACTTCAAGTGTACCAACATTCACGCTACAGGGGATGCCAGATGGAGAAAGAGAGAGAGAGAGAGAGAGCAAGATATTGAAAACCTATTTGAAGAAATAGTGAGAGAATATTTCCTATACCTGGTGAAAGAAATAGATTTACAAGTCCAAGAAGCACAGAGAGTAGCCTTGGTGTATGACCTCTTTGGAGAAGTGTCTATTCAGATCCTCTGCTCATTTTTAAATTGGATCTTTTAAAAAATTATTTATTTATTTATTTATTTATTTATTTATTTATTTAGTGTTGTTTTATGTTTTTTTTGTTTTTTTTTAAAAGAAATTTTGGATATTAACCCCTTATCAGATGTATCATTGGTGAATATGTTCTCTCATTCAGTGGGTTGTCTTTTCATTGTGTTCATGGTTTTCTTTACTGTGAAAAATCTTTTTTTTAAAATTTTTAACATGGGACGTTTCACAAATTTGTGTGTCATCCTTGCACAGGGGCCATGCTAATCTTCTCTGTATTGTTCCAATTTTAGTATATGTGCTGCCGAAGCGAGCACTGAAAAACCATTTTAGTTTGATGTAGTCCCATTTGTTTGCTTTTTTTCCTTTGTTTCCCTTGCCTGTGGAGATAGATCAGAAAAAATATTGCTACAATTAATATCAGAGAGTTTACAGCCTATTTATAAGGAGTTTTATGGTTTTGTGTCTTATATTTAAATCTTAAATCCATTTCAAGTTTATTCTTGTATATGGTGCAAGAAAGTAGTCTACTTTCATTTTTTTTTGCATGTATCTGTCCAGTTTTCCCTACACCATTTATTGAATAGATTTTCTTTAACCCACTGTATCTTTTTTGCATCTTCTGTCACATATTAACTGACCATATAGGCATGGGTTTATTTCTGGGCTCTCTCTTTTTTCCATTGATCTATATGTCTGTTTTTATGCCAATACTATGCTGTTTTGATTACTATGGCTGTGTAGTATAGTTTTATATTATGTAGAATGATATCTCCAACTTTGTTCTTCCTTCTCAATATTGCTTTGGCTATTCAGGGTCTTTTGTGGCTCCACATACATTTTTGGAATAT